TAATATTTAAATAATATAATTAATAATAAAATTTCTAATATAAAAGCTCTATTTATTTTAGATATTTTAATTTTTGATTATTTATTTAAAAATTATAAAAAATGACTTTGTACAACAGATTATGTAAATATATAGATTATTATTAATTGAGGTGACGTAAATAATAACGTGACGTGGGTGAATAGCGGCCGTAGGACTAAAACTGCTTCGAGATCTTGTAATCTAAAAAGGAATCTTCAATTTTATTTTGTTTTAAATTTAATTTTTATTCGCCAATAATTAATTAAATAAAAGACATTCATATTTCTTTTGTCTTTATCCAATCAAAAATGATGTTATTAAGAGTTTATATTTATCAACTTATTATAAGTCATGATGATTTAATTTATTCAAAAACTACTTATTATCAGTTTGACATCACTATAAGTTGTTTATCCAAATTCTTAAAAGTGTTTATTACCGGTGCTAAATCGGAATAAGTCAATAAGTTATTTTTATAAGTAATCTCAAACACCTCCTAAATCGAAATATGACTGGGTAAAATATGAAATACAAAAATAAATCAAATCCAAACATTTTTACAAATTACAATGATTATCTTGTAATTTAAAATTGTATGAACGATATTTTAATAAATTAGAGGGACCAGATTTTGTGGTTTACTCTTAAATAAATTAATTTTAAATGCATTATTTACATGTATTTATGTATTTATTTTTAAAGAAATGTATATAAAAATAAACATAAAGTAGTTTATGGTGTCCTATGACTAAAACCGTAATTATACAATTATTTTCAATTTGGGGTTGAAAGGACTCCTCAGTGGGCACCCTCCATCCGTATATTTTGTCATCGATTTGACCCAAAATAAAAGGAAAAATGACAAAACTAACAACTTTATATAACCTTTTTACATAAAATAATCAGTTTTTAAGGGTTTTATAAAATTAACCACACGAATTTCATTCGGGGGCGATCCGTACTAGTTTTGTTTTTGTTTGGGGGGGGGGGGGGGATCAGGCTTTTTTCTTAGGAAAAAAATTTTAATTTTTCTTTTTCCACTTGGGGCGAGCCACGTCATCGGATCACCCCCGGGGGCGATCCAGGCTTCAAGTATTTTTTTATTATTTTTTTCATTTTTTTATAATACCAATTTCACTATAAATATCAACCTTCTATTTCATAATTTTTCACACCTTTCCTTTACGCATATTCACGTACGTTTTACGTACGTATTTTTAACGTATATATGCGTACATGTTTTAACCCATACGCATATTTACGTATCTTCACGTACGTTTTACGTACGTATTTTATACGTATATATGTGTACGGGTTAAAACTCGTACGCATATTTACGTATCTTCACGTATATGTGTACGTATGTATATACCTACTTACATTTACATAAAAAACGATATAAATTGCGGTAACATATATATATATATATATACATATACAGAGAGAGAGATGCATAATGTAAAAAAAACAATATAAATTGCGGTAACGTATATATATATATATATATATATATAGAGATGCATAACGTAAAAAAAACGATATAACTTGCGGTAACGTATATATGTATATATATAGAGAGAGAGAGAGAGATGCATAACGTAAAAAAAAATGATATAAATTGCGGTAACATATATATATATATAGAGATATAGAGAGAGATGCATAACGTAAAAAAAAACGATATAAATTGCGGTAACATATATATATATATATAGAGAGAGAGAGAGAGATATATAGAGAGAGATGCATTACGTAAAAAAAAGCGATATAAAGAGTACAAAAATTAAAAATTTGTATTTTAACATATATATGCATACGGGTTTTAACATGTACGCATATTTACGTATATTCACATACGTTTTACGTACGTATTTTTAACGTATATGTGTGTACAGGCTTTAACCACCACTTCGAAGATACACACAAAAATCATCACTTTGAGGTGATTTCATGTTTTGTGATTATTGATTGTGTTTAATGGGTTAAAGGTTGTGAGAGTATAATATATGAGAAGAAAAATGAAAGGGAATGTGTGAAAAATTATGAAATATGAGGTTGATATTTATAGTGAAATTGGTTTAAAAAAATAAAAAAATAAAAAAAAACCTGTATCGCCCCCGGGGGCGATCATATGACGTGGCTCGCCCTAAGTGGAAAAAAAGAAATTTTAAAATTTTTTTCTAAGAAAAAGGCCAGATCGCCCCGCACTAGTACGGATCGCCCGCGGGGGAGATCCGTGTGGTTAGTTTTGTAAAACCCTAAAAACTGGTTATCTTGTGTAAGAGGGTTGTATAAAGTGGTTATTTTCATCATTTTCCCCAAATAAAAAGGTCAAATTCGTAAAATATTCTAAATTATAAAAAAAGAATAAGGAATTCTATCGACTAATATTTAACATAATATTCCATTTATTACAACGCATATCGGTTGGGTAGAAGTCATTTGAACAACCCGAACCCAATATTTGCGTTTTGAAAAATCTCAACCTAACACAAACCTTAAGGGTTGAACTGATTGAGTTACAACTTTGGTACATTGGTTTACAATACAGTTAAACGTTTTGTTTAAACGAAGTAAAATCAAAATGGAAACATATAATAAAGGCTGACAAACTCAAAAAAAATTTGAAAGTTCATTCAAATAAGAAAGTAAAATTACAATTGAACTTTGTAATTTGATTTTGAATATAATTGATTACGGGCCAAGGTAATGTCTAATGTATATATATTAATCAAATAATTAATAATCACATTACATCCGTAGTTTAGAAAGACATCGGGTTTATCGAGTTGGGTTGGGTTCAATTTATTCTCCTTCCATTGTCTCCTATAACTCGACCAATTCTAACTCGATAGATCGATGTATGGTTGTGTAAAACCCGACTTAACCTGATGAACCCGTCTAACTTGAGTTGAGATTTTTGAAAAAACAGATACCCGATTATTTACAAAACCCGAAAATTGAAAATCGAAATTTATGTAGGATTGTAGGTTCCGTGTTGTGGGTTTACGTACCATCCACCAAAACCCGTTGAAAAGCTAAACCCATTTAGATCTGATTAGTGATTGTTAATTACATATGGATTTATTAGTTGATTTCTTTTTCATCCAATCACCACAACAAAGCATCATTTTCTGCCATATAACTATATAAGAAATAACGCAAGCTGTCTGAACACAAATATGTCTGAACTCCATCGAAACTTGAACAAATCCCACCACAAAATCATAATGGTTGGGTCTCTTTACCCAACCCCGAAACCTTATCGGGTTTTACTCCATGCCATCCAAACCTGCCAGATGCTCCCCTTGGATAGATGCATTAGAAAAGCTCGACAATTTTTGTTTCTTTACAATGACAATACTTTTAACATGTGAAATTGTTGTTGATGTTTGTATCTGAAAATCTTCCATGTAATGTGCTATTTCGAATAGAGGTGATCAATAATTGGGTCTATGTATAACCAAACCTGATGACGTAAGCAGTCTTGGGGGAAACCGTGAATTTATGTAAAAATCGTAATCTGTTACAGACTGTCGGACAGTTCATAATCCTTTGCTTAGTACCAAGCTGGACCTGACCTGATTTGTTTAGTCATCTCTAAATTTGTACATTATCTGGTTTATATAATAATTAACTATTTAAAATTCGTATAAGGATAATTGTAGTATTCATAGCTAATTTCTGTATATTTTTCATGTAATAATTTTTTTTTATTAATTAAGAATATTCATGCAAGTGTGTTTCCAAAGGGAGCAAACGAATTTCAAATTTCAAATTGAGAAGAAGACAAAAGTACAGCCGAGCCCAGCCGAGCTAAAAAGATCAAACTGGGCTATAGTATGAAACCGGTGATAGCCGGTTAAACCAGTTAACCCAAAAGCAAAATTGTGTGTCTGATTGACCGTACACAGTGTGCGTGTGTCTTATTCATTTGCAGGTCGTTTCCAATGGCAGTTGGTAAGCATTTAGTGTGTGTATATTGTATCTATACTCTCTCTCTCTCTCCCCTTATGTGCTCTGTATATTCCAACAAGAAAGAATCCTGATTGATTAACAATTTTCCCATCATCAAACACGCAAAATCTCCCTCAAAACTTGATACATTTCTCTTCCCGAAAACCCCGCAAAAAATTTCCCAATTTTTTCATTCAAATCTGACCTCAAATTTCGAATTATTTATCCCATCAAAACCCTTGCTTCATCTGTTTCAAAGTTCAAACTAACCACTTCTTGCTTTTTATGGCTCTGCTCAAATTCAGTGTTGTATGAGGTAATGAGTTCCCAAAAATTGTGGTCTATTTTCAATGCATTTAAGCTTTTGTCAGTAGCTAATTATCTGTTTTGCGAAATTGAAAGTTCTATTTGAGATTTTAGTCATGTGATTATGTGTTTGAAGCTTTGATTAATGTTTATTTGATGTAATTATATTGCATTTTACATTACCCATCAAGCTTAATCATTGATCTTTTGAATCGAGTTGGGAATTTTAATCAAATAGTGGATTTATACATATGGGTTTTGTTTTAATGTATGTTTTTAGTGATATTTTTGGGTTGAATTCATATGATTGAATAGGGTTTCTTGTTTTACATATGGATAATTTCTAAATTGAGTGAAATTGATTAGGGATTTAGTTCAATTTTTTCAGGAATGATTTGATTGTTTAAAATTGGGTAAAAGATTTCTGTTTCTTAAACTTTAAAAGATTTAAAGATCCGAATGGTAAAAAATTGGGGTTCGAAATGCTACGTGTGATTATATATTTACTCTATTTGCACTCATTTTGATTCATTTATTGTTTTCAAATTGAACCCGTGATTGATAGAGAGATCCAATGACTTTGTGGGTCATTTTGCATTCAACATTCTCTTAAAGATTTCGTGTAAGATTTTGAAGATTTAAATTTTAAACTGAAGTAGTTAAGAACACACACACACACACACACTCACTCCCCCCTTCTTTTCTTCTCATAATTTCAAGTTGGATCAAAATCCTTAAAAGGGTTTAAATTCTTGTATAACTTTGAGTCCCATTTGCGATTTTATCAAGAAATGAATAATTCAACCAAAAATACGAATCTTGAAATCATAACAGTGGTTTTTAGGGTTTCCAATGATAAAATTTTGGTTTTTTGATCAGGGATTTGGAGTGGGTGATGTTTGTTTATCTAATAAAAGGGTTTAAATTCTTGTATAACTTTGAGTCCCATAGGAGATTATATCAAGAAGTGCATAATTCAACCCAAAGTAGGAATCTTGAATTGAAAACACTGTTTTTTAGGGTTTCATATGACAAAGTTTTGGTTTTTTGATCAGGGATTTGAAGTGGGTGATGTTTGTTTATCTAATTGAACAATTTTCTTTTCTGGGGTGATGTTTGTTTATCTAATTGAACAATTTTCTTTTCTGGGTACATTCAGCTTCTTGCTCAATGGGTTGGATTAGAAAAGGGTATTGGATGCAGCTTAGCAAAATCTTGGGTTTACTTTAGATCACTGTATTGGACTTCTAAAGATTTCGATAAAGATCTATAATTGTCGGAAATTAAGAGGAATGCTGGAGCCGGAGCTATATTCTTCTCGGGTTTTCTCCCCTTTTCGTGAAGAAAGTGGGGACGAAGAGCTTTCTGTTCTTCCTAGGCATACCAAAGTTATTGTGACCGGAAACAACCGAACAAAATCTGTTTTGGTGGGTCTTCAAGGCGTCGTGAAGAAGGCTGTCGGCCTCGGTGGCTGGCATTGGCTGGTATTCCCTTATCCTTTTTCTTGCTTTTGATTTCAAATACATATACCCTTTGTTGCTTTGAATCTTTTGGTCACACTGATTAAGGAGAAAAGGGGGAAAATAGCATGCCAAAATGATTAAGATTGTAGATGGGACCGACGTGGGTCGATTTCGTTCAAATAATGTTGTTAGTAGTAGTGGTGACACTAGATATAATCAAATGTGGTATCATGAAAGTGAAATGCTTTCTTGAGATTTTGGGTTCTATGCTTCATTTTTTTAATTTGGTGTCATAAAGATTGCAACTTTCCCTTTTCTTGTTTCAAGCTAAAATGACTTATTCGCCCCGTTGCCACGGTGGCGGACCCTCCGAGGTGCAAATGGTGGTCATGGGCCACCACTTTGTCCGTCCATCGTAGTATAAAACATTTTAAGGTGGTGAAAGGTGCCACTGGGTGCCACCATATATTTCTTGAAACTACAGTAATACCGCGAGTTTCTCTTGATAGAGTTGGTTTGTAGGGTCTTTTCTCCCTTTTTAGACGTGGGTTCGAATCCCATTTGTATATTTTCTTAGTTTTTAGCTATTAATTTCAGGCTTATTATGTTTCTAAAACAATTTGGGCTTCGTTTTTTTATAGTCAAACATTGTCACCACTTGAAAAAATTATGGTGGATAAGATTCTTTTATTTTGTCATTGTAGAACCCCATACTTGAAATGGGGCATCATGAAAGTGAAATGCTTTTTATCAAGATTTTGGGTTTTATACCCGTTATGCCGATAAATTCTGCAACAATTTCCTTTATGGAAATATCGATGTGACATCGAATTCGGAACCTTTTCTTTTGGCAAAATGACGAATTTGTCCATTCTGTCGAATTTCCAACTGTTGCTAGGTTCTGAAAAACGGAGTTGAAGTGAAGCTGCAAAGGAATGCTTTGAGTGTTCTTGAACCCCCGACTGGTCATGAAGAAGACGATGAGTACGAATTCGATATTTCAAGCAGCGGCTCCGATGTTAACGAGTTTCGTAAGTATACACCCTTTTCGTTACATGATAAAATCCCCGAAAATCCCATAAATTGTCAAATGCAATTCCATTCAAACAATTTGAAGTTGGTTTCTTCTTTTTTTCGGTGGCAGCCACTGCTACAGAGTTTAGCAAACTGAACAAGCCGAGAGTTCGTTACACGAGACCGTGGGGTCCGTCTCCATCGATGAAATCTGCTAATCGTAACAATTGCAGAGAAATCTGTTATCCCGTAAGTTGGAATCATACCGTAAAGTTGGTTAAAATCTTGATATATTCTATTTCTTGATGACTTTTTGTGGATGAGCAGAAAGTGAACTTTTCGAAGCTGGGAACGAACACGCTGTGGCGATATTACAGTACTTTTAATCTCGTAAGTTTTGTTTATACGATTATCAAAACGCACACCCATTTATCTTGTTTTGTAACGATTATTTTGAATCGCAATTCTTGTCCGTTTAGGGGAACATTCACGCTAATCCGACAAAGGAACAGCTGGTTAACGCGGTTCACAAACATTTTGCTTCCCAGGTCCGTCTCTCGTGCTTCATGCTCTTTCGAACTTTGCACACCTTGCAACAGAATCGGCTTTGTAGGACGTCAAATGTCTAAATGGCTTAATAAACTGTTTTACGAGACTTTAAGTATAGAATGTAATTGTGCTACAATAGGATGTATTTGGACATCTTAACAAGTTTTTTACGACATTTTTAAAATAAAGTGTCCTAATAACTTTTACATAAGACATTTTTGAAATAAAGTGTCTTGATTACGACGGAAATTAACTGAAATAGCCATTTTCTGGGACCACATTCATCTATTAGCCATCTCTAGGCAACTCTTGTCCCTTTCTTTAAACATATTTGACGCCTTATAAAGTTGGTTATGTTATATACCGACTTTTTAGCAAAACATTGATCGTTGCATTTTCCGTGCCACAGAAAGTGAGCGAAATGGAAGCGATAATGGAGTTCATCAATGCAGCCAAGAGGCGGAAATCCGGAAGAAGCAACAGGGATCGAAGTTGATAATGTGTGTGTGTGTGCGCGTGCGTGTTGTTTGTGTATACGTACTATTATCCTAACCGATTAGCGCAACTCTTAATTGTAGACGACTTAACTGGAGATAGAGAAAGCTCGTTTCTTGGCTTTACGAACTCTCCTTGATGTTTAACCCTGTAATATCGACCCATGTTCTAGTTTCCGTTTATATCTAATCGTGTCTCGTTTTCATCGATAAAAATCCCGAAAATAAATTAAATTTACATATTACAAGATTGATTTTGATGTACATCCTTTTGTTTTATGCATTATTATTTGAACATATATAACTTTCTAAATTGGGTCAAGAAGATGTGGACCTTTTTGTTGTGCAATGAGGTTGGAGTTGGGGTTGGGGAATTTAATCATAAAAATTGAATTATTTTAATATCTTGTCATTATTATGGGGAGGACCCACCCAAGGCTCCAAACAATTATGGAAAGTGAGGTGGTGGTTTGTAATTCAAAAACACTATAATTTATTTTGATGTTTAAGATTTTAGTGCATCAAAACGTATTGAATATAACAATTTATTCGGTAAAAGCTTACTTGGATAAGGGTCGTCATCTTCACCTATCGGGTAAGACTCTCCATCATTCTTATTGCTCTTACCCGATTAGATTTTTGACCCTTGTCATGTTCATTCGATGAGGAAATTTATCCGGTAAGCACTTACCAAATAAGCATTTAGTAAACGGCCCCCAAGACCCTGTTTGTTAGCAGCTCAATGAGCTCAATAGAACTCAGACCTTATTCAATAAGCTATTGACGAAAGAACCCCCTCCCCCTCCCCTCCAAAACAACAACATTCTAAATCTACACTAACATACTAATCTACACAGACAGCTTTATCTATATATAAATCAACCAAACCGAAACAAGGGGGATGAATTATAATATAGTGTAAAGACAAATCAAGTGCCATGAAATGATACAATCAAAGTGTTTCTTGAAGCAATTACTATGCAACAAAATGGGTACCATCTTGTATCACATCAACACATAGCAATATACTACAAAAGCAGCAATATGTACAACTACAACCAACTGAAATCCTCTTGCCCTTTTGGTGTCAGACTATTTATTCATGGTGTTATGCTTCAAATAGACCCTTTTTATGCTCTAAAAGCTCAAATAAAGCAATTCTCATCTTCTCCACTGAAACAGGTTTAAGCACAACTCCATCCATTCCCATTCTTAAGAGGCTTTCCTTTGTTGTCTTATCTGTGTTGGCGGTAAGCGCTACTATGAGCGGCTTTTCATGGCGTTTTGGGAACATTTCGTGTATGGATCTTGCAACATTGTAGCTGTCTGCAGGAGGTAAAGAGACATCCATGATGACAACCCTGTGTTCTTTGGTGATGGCTTGTAAGCATTCTTCGCCTGAGCTAACCATTGTTACATCACAACCAAGGTGCACGAGAAGTCCCTCGGTTGCGGTTCGGCTAACCCTGCATAACATGAAACATGCATCAAAGATCCAAGATAAAATAATAATCCCATTGGGTCCTGAAGATAACAAGAAGAAAAATCCTCATGAAGAAACTCGAGCTGGCGACCTATGATTTTTTATGTTGTATTGGGCAAACGGCCGGGGTTTGACAATGCATAATTGCACAGTGGGACCACTTTTCAGGATTCAAATCAAATGAGCCCAACATATCCCACTCAGAGGTGGGGTCTGGAAGGGGTGAGACGTATTCACACCCGGAGAGTAGAGTAGTTGTTTCCGTAAAGACCCCTAGCTTGCAAAAGGTGTGTGCAAAAAGACTGGTAGCCCAAAAAGTATATACATATATACTTTAGTGTAGGGTCAGGTTCACGTGAAAATGCAAAAAAATGAAAAATTGAGAAACAACCTGGTAACCATTCATCTGGAAGGTATGCACATTTGCATACATATAATTGAAGCTGTTTCTTGGAATTTATGCACTAATGCATGTTATGCACATGTGCATACCGGACAAATTACTTGTATGCACATGTGCATACCGGACAAATTACTTGTATGCACATGTGCATATTGTTCGGATGAAAGGTTACTAGGGTGTTCCTCAGTTTTTCATTTTTTTGCGGTTTTCCCTAAACCGACTCTATTAAAGTATATAAGTATATACATATACATATGCATTTGAGGCCGTGCACAATTGCATGGTGGGACTATGTTTTGGGATCCCGATAGCATTTAAACACTATCATTCGTTGGATATAACTCAAACCACACTATTTCTTCATTTATCTGTATCTACATATGTGTGCAAATATGTATGTATGTGTGTATACATATAAGCACACATGACATTATTTCCTTGGACATTCAAGTCAACTAAGCTTAGTATCAAAATTGAAAGGGTACTGACAAAACCCTCCAGACATCACTAACCCATTATCATCGATGACTAAAACTTTCAATCCCGAAAAATTTGTCTGCCCAATTTTTGCTGGAACTCTCATATGAGGGTGTCGGGATTCATTAAAACGTGCGGGAAATCCAAGTTTGACATAAAAGACTGCAGTAGATCCCTTGCCAAGGCCTTCACTTTCAATCCATATATTACCTTCCATAAGATTTACGAATCTGCATGAATTCAAGACAGACCCAAAATTACTTAGTTTCATAACACAGAAATTAAAACCCGAAGTGCAGAAGATAAAAGAACACAATTACCTTTTACAAATGGCAAGGCCAAGTCCATTGCCACCTGGATTTCTAGATGCTGGTGATTGACTTTCTGCAAATCTCGTGAACAGCTTAGGAATATCTTGTTGGCTGATTCCCATTCCTGTATCTTTCACCTACACTAGAGGAATGTAGTTAACAACTGAACTTAAGACATTAAGGGTGTGTTTGGTAAACTGGACAGAACAAAACAAAACAGGGATCACTGTTCCACGTTTTGGCAGAACCTTTGTGTGGAACAGAGTGGACCAAAGTGGGTGTTCCACCCCCAACCATGGAACAAGGTGGAACAGACCTATATTTTACCAATATAGCCTCAAAATAAAACCTAATTCTCTTCTAAAACATCAAATACTCCTCCCTCTTTACATTTTATTCATTCTTTGAATTTTATTTATTGTATTTTATGTTATTCAAACTTTCACTTTACTGTCCTCAAAGATATTATTTTTATATGATTTCTATATTTGAGTTAATTTATGTAATTTATTAAATATTTAATAATAACAAAAAATATAGAAAAGGTATAAAATAAAATTTGAAAAATACATAAACTTTTTAGTTTAGTGTCATTTTAATTGTCTTGTCGAAAACTTTCTAATGATATATTTTGTTATAAAAATATTTATTTTATTATAAAAATATTTATTTTATTATAATTTAATAAATTACATAAATTGATCAAATATATAAAAGATATAAACAACTCATTAAGGGTAAATTGGTCATTTTATCTGTTCAGCTAGACGTTGGAAAACTGTTTTGTCATGTCTTGTCCCGCCTGGATACCAAACACACCCTAAATAACTAGCAAATAAAGCCGACAATTACTGAAGAGAAAATGGTAAAACGAACCTGAACACGCATATAGAAATTAGCATCACCGGGGAGTGGAAAAAAGTCGGGAGCTCGAGGATCCCTCAAAGAATCTGGTTTTGCCATAACAGCAGAAATTGAAATGCTGCCCTCTTTTGAAAATTTCACAGCGTTGCCGACAATATTTAGAATTATTTGCATAAGCCTCTTTTCATCACCAGTGGCATACTCTGGCAAATCTGAAGAAATGCTCAATGTAACAAACAACCTTTTGACCGATGCAACAGGCTTTATCAAGTTTAACACCTGAGAAAAGACGCACAAATTTGTCGGTACAAAACTATAAACAAGGACAACTATCCTGAAGTCAAATACTAGAGTCTGACCGGATAATTTTGTCTTATTCAGCTGACAAAAGGACATTACGGGTCTGTTTGGTTGGGTTTTTATCAACTCCTGTATGGATAAAGTTGTGTGCATAAATTAGGAAGGTTTTTGTTTGGGAGGGTATTTTCATAGATGGAAGGAGCGTGTTCTTTAATTGGGAGAGGCGAGTTTGGAAAAAACTCGGCTTTCTGCATAAAGCTCCCTTCTAAAAGCTTACTGAATAAGCCACTTTCTATATCATTAAGCCACTACCAACGAGTCATGTATAGCTGGCTGAATAAGCCGGGAGTCCATTAGGCTGCTAACAAACGGGACCTAATACTCTACCACAGCCAAAAAGGTGTGTCGTCCTTTTTTCTTCTTCCACTCATGCAATTTACGTTAAAATTAACTTCTTCAAATGTCAATTTAGATTATTTTACATTGTCATTTAGCTTATTAGCTAGTTTTTACCAAACATGACTATTTTATCGGCTAACAAGCTTCTTGCAAATAGCCAAAAAGAAGAAATATAATCAAACCAATATAAGAATTACCTCCTTCAAGAGAGCATGAAGGTTGAAAGTTGCAATATCAAGTTCAAGGCTACCATCTTCCAGCCTCGAAAGGTCTAATACGTCATTTATTAGTGTGGCAAGCAAGTTACTACTCTTGAGGATGGTCTCGACCATCAGCCGTTGCTCTGGTGTCAAATCAGTTTCTTGAAGTAATGATGATAATGCAATAATTGCATGCATAGGAGTTCTCATTTCATGGTTCATAACTGCAAGAAAATCATTACGTGCACGCACAGCTGTTTCAGCTTCCCTTCTTGCAAGATCAAGCGCCACATTCTGCTCCATAAGCAAGTCCCTAGCCCTCGTAGACTCTTCTAAAATAGCCGCATGTGAAAGAGCGACAGCGACCTGAAGAACAAAAAAAAATACCTCAATGATGTGTCCATTTGATCAACAAGCTGGTTATAATCTCCAGTTGAAGGATAATCATCTAGTAAAATTGAACCCCAATAAACAACCTCACTATGGCTAAAGTTCTAAACCCAAAACAGCCCACATAGAATTTACAGAAAAGAAGCGATAGAATTACCGTGCAAAAGCAAACACGAAAAAGAAATTCAGTCACCACATACGCTAAAAGGAGATGAAGAAAAGCACCAGAAAGTGGTTTGACATGGAAACATATTGCTTTTAGATCAGTAAATTGTTCATGTGCTATTTAGCTATTTGTAGGTTTATCTGACTTTTTCATTTGTATTTCCTCTCATCTTAAAATCTTTTGTTTGTTTCAGGCACTTCGCAATATTTTCTAAACCTCCCTTCATATTAGTTAACTAACTATACTTTTTGCAAAACCATGGCTTCAAGTTTTGCCTTCCAAATCTTTTTTCGCAAGCCAAGAGTCTTTTTTAAGGAGCCTCTCTGCTCCAGAGGCAGAGAATAAAGGTCTACATACATCTTGCCCCACAGACCCTACCTCCAGGTAGGATATATTGGGTTTGTTTGGTTTGGTTTAAATCAGTAATTTCAAATTTCTGGGGGATTGTTGATGGCATTACCGCAGAACCTAAAGATAGCTATAGAAATGACATTTTCTAAATATTCATATGACCATGCTTAAACCTAGTTTAATCAAGAATATTCGACTCTATCACTACAGCAGTGTTGCAGGCTATTTGTTAGAAGTGCCTAGTTAAAAGCTTAGAACTCAACACAACATGATTGTTGAACTTAATTTCTCAACATTATATATATATATATATATATATATATATATACAAATCATTTTTTGAGAAACTACATAAAAGGTTGTCGACAAGCTTAACAAGATTAATTTGCATTCCTCCTGTGAAGTCTGGACACAGAAACCTTCTCGTTGTTCAATTGAGAAGAAACTAAGCATTGGCTACTTCAGTACTGTACTACTATACCCATTCATGCTAACAAAGAGAAGCTGAAACAATCACATCAAGTTTCCAGATATACTTACTAAATTGAAGATCTAAAAACTAAACTTGAAGTAAATCAAGAAAAATAGACAATGTGCAAACCTGATCAGCGACTACTTCAACAAGCTCCAACTCGTGCACATGCCACTGCCGTGCACTATCCGAAGGAAGCATCAAAACCATCAATGCATATCGTTTTGTTGTAAGTTCTGGCCAATCATAAATCTGAAAATTATTGAGATGTAGAAGTGGAACTCTCACAGCAACAACCTCCCCGAGCATGTATTTTCCAGAAGCTGGGCGTAATCTAGCAACAGGACTATTGGGAGATATTTTAACTGCACGATTGGTACTAAACACTTGATTGATTGCAGGAGATTGTATTGGAACTGTAAACCCTACTGGATTTTGATGGCGAAGAGTATAGGAAAGCTGAAGCTCTAAACCACTACGTGTTGGCATCCAAAGAGCACACTCTTCCAATCCCAATGTTCTTCCCAACTCAACAAGTGTAGTCTTTAATATAGTATGTCTGTTAAGAGTGCTTCTTATTTCATGAGTTAGCATCCTAACATGCCTGCCTGTTTCTTCCTGGGTGCGAATGATACCCATCTCACGATCAAGCTCGGCAGCCTTATTTTTCAAGAATAACTCCCTAGTTTTCACACTAAGTAGATCAGGAATAATGTGCACTAACATAAGGGCAGTTGCACATGACACTGCAGCAGTCAAGGCCTTGGCAGTGGTCATAACAATAGCTACCGTTCTTGTATGCACATTGAAAGTCCATAAGTTAATAAGATGTGTAGCTCCACATAGAACAATGAATGCGCCAAACTGAACAAGCACCCATTTATAGGGGAAAACCGCTGATTTTTTCACAAAATATATCAACTCCAGTGGAATGGAGAAATAAGCAAGTGCAATAAAGAAATCTGATATATACTGATATTTCATCAGAAGTTCATCAGCCGGCCATTGTGGCTCAATGCAATTGCACTCCATTGTTGATGAACCACTTCCCAAGGCGTACGCTAATTATAGCATCTACAAGATAACCAAACAGTATAAGCTCACTACTAATAAGACCATAAGAATCCCACTTCATAAATAAAAAGAACAATCAAACAACCAGACTTCAGGGATGGACCCAGGGGGGTTTTGTGGTGGCACGTGCCACCATTTTGTTCCTCCGTCGTAGTGTAAAAAAGTATAGGGTTGTGAAAAGGACCACCATACTAAATTGTTGTATGCCACCGTATATATTTTGAAACTACAATGAGGACACAAGTTTCCTTGGTAGTGTCATTTTCTTAGTTTTTAGCTTTTAATTCAGATTTATTATGTTTCTGGTTTTTTTTGCAATATAATGAGTTGAACACAGGATCTCACATATGAAAAACAATGAGCTAACCAACAGACCAATGATGATTTTGTGAAAAATATCCCTATATTTGTTTCTTACAGTCACCGTTTGAAAAAAATTCTGGGTCCGTCCTTGCCAGACTTGATTCAATTTTTTGGCATAAGTTAGAATGCAAATCAATTCATCACCTTAGTAACTAAAGGAGCAAGACCCATTCATCAAATTTCAAAGATTAAAGCAAATCGAATATAGAAAGACTACAAAATCGTCGCTCCAAGTGTCTTCTCATTAACATTTGGAGCTTCATTCTATTAATTTTTTGTTGAAGATGCAATTCACTCCCAATTTTTTAAAATTTCTATGAAAGCAAGCTCTACCGACCTCCATTTACAAGGCTAAGTGTAAAGAAAGATAAGAGGAAACAGTCAGTTATAGGACTTACAGACAAATCAAAGATCCTTCATCCTGCAATTATCTCTTTCTTGTATGTAAATGAAGAACCTACCCTTTCATAGTCATTCTAGGTTTAAACAAAACATTCCTCAAACAAGATTTATGCAATTACTTCATCCCAAATAACCCTTATCAGTATATATGAAACAAGTCAATCTTTACAAACCTACAAGTTTCCAATTCCTTTCTTAAAGCCATCAAATGCAAACTAAATATCTTCAGCAGCTGTAGGGTGCTCAGCTCAATTCAAGCTAGAGGTTTATTTATCATGAAGATATCGATCCCTTTTGGTAATTCGACCAAATTCAACATTTAGACCACCAACTCCCCTCTATCACTAACAGAAACCTCATTAATTCACACCAATTACATTACAAACATCTTGCCATACCTTCGATCAAACGAAACAAAAGTATAAACTTCAAACTCAGCACAGATCAATACTATGATCTATACTGTAGAAGTCAATGCAAATTAAAATTATCAAACCAATAAACCTAAAAAATTGCATAAATCAACAAAGGAAAACATATATTCTCTTCCTATATAAGGGTTTAAGAATTGAAATTAAACCCTAGAAACCCAATAAAGCAACGAAACCCGTTACCTTGGGGAGTAAGGCTCGTGAATCATGAAATCTGTAAGTTGAAGTTGAAGTGATCAGGTACCATGAATGAAATATTGGGCACGTAGGCTAATGTGAAATCGATCAAAGAAGAATCGGTTAAAGCAATCAGCGGGATACAGCTGAGTGAAGACGACTTTAGGGAAGCGGTGGTATAAAGCCGAGTAGAGAGAGAGACTCTCTCTTTGGAAAGAGAGAGAAAGCTGTTGGACTGATTATGACGAGACGAGGTGATGATGGTGGGCTTTGGTTGAACTACGTCTACGATGGCTTCTTCAATCTTTCATAGTGTTTTTTCTAAAGCCCAAACTCTCGGACGTAACCATGGCTGATAAGATCGTTGTCTCAGACCATTTTTAATATATTTTCTAAAATAAATATTTTATCCTTTATTTTACATCAACAGATTTTTTAAAGCATTTAAAATAGAAAAAATTGTCTGAAATTTAGGGGTATAGGATTGTGTTGGGTAGTTTACAATATTTTTACAATCCAAGTTGATCATGACAGTTTGAAGAAATCTTAACCCAATCCAACCCATTCAAAATTATAACTCAATCCTTGCGGGTTGAGGCGGGTCCGGGTTGAGTTAGCGGGTTAATAGTTACATAAATTTGAGGAATTAGATCATTCATAAAACTTAAGTTTATAGACTATACTATAAAACGTCATATCTAAAAATATTACAATATGTTAATAGAACGTTTCAACAAGTGTTTTAGAATAATCTTTAAATAAAATATCCTATTGATTATTTTACAGATACATTTTGAGAAGTGTCTCGTAAACTTATCTATTTATAAGATGAAATCTAAAATTTAAAAACCATAGGACGTAATCCACAATTTTAAGCAAACCACAGGATGGAAAACGTAATTTACTCATTTTTATATTTATTTAAAATCTATTAAACTCATAAAAGATTAGTGCTGAAAAATCTCTAATTTAAAAAACAAAGGAACATATTTTTTGGGTTGGGAATAGATAGATACGCGAGCGAAATATTGAAAATCAAGTTCGGTTAATATGAGATTATTAATATATAGTCAAACTACACATAATTAAAATAATAACAAAATAACATTTATAAATTTACAAAAAACACTGATTATTCAAACAATAAAACATATTATATAAAGGTGTTGCAATAAGTTTATAGAACATTTTTGGACGTTCTAACAATATTTTAGAATATTTACAAAGGGTCGCATTGACAATTTTAATCTATTATGACACTTAATCTTTTTGGCATCATATAAACCTAATTTTGTTGTAGTGATATTTTTCTTAATTGTTTGAATAATCAGTGTTTTTTAATCTTAATTTATAATTTCTACTTAGTTGCTATATTAATTATTTGTAGTTTGACTATAAATTAATAATGGTGTTACCAAACATTTTATACCCGTGAAGGTTCACCTACTATGACTCCAGGCCATTCGTGGTCGTCGTGTGATTAGTCGGTGTGCGCAAGCTTGCTCGGAAATTCATGGTTACCCAAAAAAATATTTTGCTCGCATATTTTAATTCCCAACCAAAATATATATATATATATATGAATTTATCTTCATTTTCTAAACTTGAAACTAAATTTTTATGTGAATTTAATAGTTTTTAAATAAATCTTTCCTTCTTGCAATTGCAGGGTTTTAAAAAAATTGGAGTATCATGCTTGTGAGTCTTTGAAGGAAAATGAGTAGTGATGGCAGGAGTGAAAAAATTATGCTTGTGAAAATGTAAAAAGTCTTTAGTTAAAGTGAAGCTACCAGATAAAGATTTTTTTAATATATATATATATATATATTAATAAAATTTGATTTGCGATTAGATATATAAACTATGTATTTCTAAGAAATTAAAAAAAACGTAAATCAAATTAAGTTTTAGAGAAGATTACACTTTTGGTCTCTATAGTTTGTTCAAAGTTCGACTAATTCTTCATAACATAACGGTTACTAACTAACGTTATTAACTGGAGTGACCATGTGTGTTATCAAAATGAAAAGTTAGGGACCATCAATGTAGATAGTTTATTTTAAAAACCAAATCCAAAATTTAAGCAAACCACAAGGACAACCAGTGGAATTCATTCTATGATTTTTTTTCCCCTTCTAAATTAATTTGGAATGATCATTTCTAAATTTATTAAGCAATAATTAATTAAAATAAAAATAAAAGAAACTTTTTTGTTTATTTTAATAATATAATGGGCTCATTCCCTCAGAAGCCCGAATATTCATTCCAAGTTAAATCAAAAGGGATGAGAATTCATTCACATTTTCATTCCTCTATCTGAACTAAATGTCTCTTATCGTATAAGTCCAAAATGTGATTGATTTAATCAAAATTATACTTTGCTTCTGAAACTTATTATTTACAGATAAATATAATCAATTTAACCAAGTTTACACTTTGGTACATAATTTCATTTCATATTTTATGATTATATATTTACTTTTCATACACATTCCGTATTCGTATTAAAAACCGTGTACTAAATGTTTACTTGGTAAGTGGTTATCGCGTCATTTACTTTACCGGATAAACATGTCAATGATCAAGAATTTTACCTGACAAAAGTAATGAAGAATCTTATTCGGTTAGAGAGGATAATGACTCTTATTTTATCGGATAAATTATTGAATACGATACTAATTTAATGAACTATAATCTTACTTGATAAAGTGATACTTTCATGGGCCTGACATTTTGAGAAAAAGAAACTTTTTTATTAATAAAAAACTCGTTGTTGTATAAAACGAAAACTCGTTTAAAGTACAATTGTTTTAGAGTTAAAGGAATCAATTTTAATACAACAAATATGATGTCCAATTTTAAATAAAAAAATGGATTATGGTAGACAACAAAAATCGTCTCATTCCCAAGGAAAGGATAGGGTATTTCAGGCAACAAAAATAGAATACTCAACTGGGGGAGAAACGAAGATGACGAAATTCTATTTTCAGATGCTTAACTATGAAGTAATGTTTTACATCCAACAGTTGTTATTCAGATTTTTCTTTATCAAACATCTTGTCAATACGATGAAAAAAAAATCTATTACTCTATTTAAAAAAAAAAATTAATGATTTATAAAAAAGAAAGAAAGGCAAAAAACAAACTAATTCTATTCTGTCTTTACCAGTTTTGATCGAACCTGGATAAAGTATGATTTAAGAATAGAATTTGACATTTATCCGATCTAACTAAAAATATTATCCTTGTCTAGAAACTTACGTCATGATGTTTACCAATTTTAAAAAGACAACAGTTAAGGAAAATATGAGAACGTTGGTTTTTTGAATATAATCAAGTTTTTATTTGATTCTGACCCGATCCGTAACTATCTCTACCATATAGATCTTTTATGTTAATAAGATAAAAATTGACAAGAAATACGAGAAACCAATGATAAACATAAACATTTATGTTTCAATAAATCCCCAACGAAAAAACAATCTGAATATTACCGACGAATCTTATTTAAATGATTATGGTGGTTTTTGAAAGATAAAAAAATTATATATTATAATCATTCTCTTATGTGCTACCAAAAAACCCACCAAGAAATGAATCAATAAACTACAAAGTTTTATATTTTTAATGTGGTTGTTTCTGATCTTAAAAGAATCTGAGGATTACAAAATAGAGAAAAAAAGTGGCTCAAATCATGGATAATCAATACCATTATTCAAACTTTATTGTTTAAAGTAGCCTAACAAAGACATCTCAAGTATGCCAAATCTGCCAAAAAATAATACTAAAAAATAAAAATAAAAATAAAAATAAAAAGAGTACCACATTCAGCCAAATTATAGCATTGAGTAGACAAGACATGCACAAGGTTCGGGCCTCTCATATCAGCAAAAGAGAAGGCCTCGACCTTTTAAGGCGAGACTGGACTTGCGGTTGAAAAAGGCCGGACTTTTTCAAGTTTATTCAGACTTTTTCATACCCGGGCTTATCTAGGCTTTTTCAAGTCAGGCCGATAGTGTCACAAAATAATCCCAAAGTTAAAAAGCATTCTAGTCAATCTATTGGGAGTTGGGATGACCAAAGAGCGAACATGAATAACCAAAACAAACATATGAAGTTGCTTGTTATATAAATTCATATGGGCAACAACAACTTCATAGCTAAAGCTCATCTTAACTATGGCCTTGATGGCCGGTTAGGATTATCTCGATCAAACGAGATATTGTCTCCAAAACTCGATACTGTTAGAATTTTATTTATTTTACCTTTTTGTACCAGAATCTAGTGAAAGAATAGGAAAAGAAATGAAGGGTTGGTGTTCAAATTCTGTTTTCCATTGGATCCAATTGAAATTGCCAAGAAAACGAAACTAGATTTGAGCAGTTGTTGTAAAAGGTGTGAAGGCAAGAAACAAAGAAAAAGAGGAAAGACAGGGAACCCGAAATCAACTCCTGAAGAGAGTTTCAAGAGCTTCAAAGAATAAGGGAGCCATTTCCGGACTGGGAGTTTTAATGGCACATTTAAGGCCGGGAGACCCAAGAAGTGTCGTAAGTTCAATTAAGAAAGGAATACCTCTTGGGATTTTAGCAGATAGATATAGAACCTCTTGGTTTTTGTTCTTTCGCTTGGCGATGAAGAACATGTTTGAAGAAGCCAACCGCTCTATGGTTGCATCCACGCTGTTTATCACAATGTCGGGGAAGTCTTTTGAGACCTCGTTGGAATCGGGCAATGACCTCCATGTCTGCAATCACAGTTGCAAAAATTCTTAGATTTGATCGGCTAACTACAACTTAGCAAGTTGTGTTAGAAGCTGTTTGGTTGTTTTTTCATTAAACCCTGTAGGATGTATGTATTAAGCTGTCAGTATGAATTAAAATTGGAGAAGCCATGTAGTAATCTAGAGAGAGAAAATGTCCATCCATCTAATAAGAAATTGCAATAATTTTCTTTCTAGGATGTTACATATCCATTGGGATATTCATCTTTTAGCAAAATTTCAACTTAAAAGGAACCTATAGCATAATGTTGTCATTACAAATTATTTATGGTACTGATTCCGGTCTAAGAGATCCCTTTGTTAAGGAGTGTTTTAGGCATTCGAAAATAGTGCGGATCGCCGGTTGTTTTTTGGACCAGATTTTTTCTGAGTCGGACTGGATATAGATCGGTCTGATTTTTTTCCCCTTTTTTAAACATATTAATTTCTTTTTCTCTCCCTTTTTTCCTTCTTCTAAACTAACCAGACCAAAAGCCTAGACCTGACTTTTTTCTGACCGAATCAAGACCAAGACCCGACCTTTTTTCAGACTGGACGGGGCCAGACCGCCAGTCTTGATTTGGTCTTTACCTTGCCAATTCTGTACCGGTCTAGGCTTTTTCCAGACTGCTTTGACAAGACTGGACATTTCTGACCGGACTAGGACTGGTCCATGTGCAACTCTATGTACAATGTAGCACCAACAATTTTTAAATTTAGTATTTGTTAGAAAGTTCAATGAGTGGCATAATAACAGATCTCATGATATTTTCAAATAATTATTACAAGTATAATGTAAAAAAAAACAGTCCACTAGCCTCAAAAGTGAAGATGCCATTTTCATATAGGCCATTTGACATTCATTTTCCTTTTGTCTAACATGACATGATGGTGGCCAAAATGAATGTGATCTGATTATGGGTTCTACTTGCTTGATGCAAAGAGAATTGAGATTGAAGACACACACATGGAGAATGTGGTCCAATGATGCAAACAGTCAATATTTAACTGTATCTCTGTATATTCAATTTGTTCCATCTTATTTATATCTCAAATATAGAGGGTATATAAAAGAATATACAAAGAGTTATGTTACCTCAAGGAAGGTACCGCGTTCCATTTTTCCATCCTCCGTGAACAATACAAACAATGAGATTCTGTCATTAAAGTACCATACGCGCTGTTGATTGTTTTTTACTGCAACCTGCAAAAGTGAACTTGGAGGACCTGGTGCCATATTCTGGAACAGAACCATAGGAAGAAGGGTCTTTTCCGTTGTTCCTGGTTGCATTTGTGGGATCTGGTCCAAAGTATAGGTGATTCCTTTAAAGCAACAAGATACAGTAGGAGAAAAAATATTGTAGTCAATAACAGGTACCTGAAGCGGACCACCAGCAGCAAGACCGAACGTATTCTTGTTGAACTGGATCATATGTCCATCCAGTGGAGTTTGTGTGTTGTTCTCAAACATTAAGCTGTAAAATATCTGACCATCTCTCCGTACCAACTGTGCGCTAATTTGTAAACCTTGACCAGTTTCAGCTGGTAATAAAACAGGCAGAGGAGGCCTGCAACAGTAGAAACTGTTATGTGATTTTGTACACACAGATTTGCAGTATGGATTGAGTCCCGTGAGGATGAAAGTTATCGTGAGAAGGGTAAGAAGGGATCTCCACCCTTGAATCAATCCTAATTGAAGGGAACCACTAGATCAACACTAATGAGATACACTAGATCAATTCCCTTCTAAAGCGCAATTCATGGGTTGTTTTAGGATTAAAAGTGATCATGTCCAGATCCTTTCTTACACTTCTCACCTTAACTCCTATTCTCACACAATCCTACGTCTTTGCACTATTACATTAATCTTGCTGGAATGTCATATTCTAATTTGTGGGTTCTAGGGTACACTTACCCTCTAGGTGATGTAGGTTGATCAACTGGCACCATAGCATTATTATCATCACCATCAAGACCCAGATCAAGTAAATCCGGCATGACAACAGGTGCAGGATATGATTGCTTTGCTACATCGTAAGGAGAAGTGCTTAAAGTAAGTGATGGTGCACCATTAGCGACACGTGCAAGCGATGTCTCAGAATGCACTATTTCACTTCCCTCTGGACATTCTTCTTCTTCTGTTTTTTGAATGGTCCTCACACGTGTTACAAATGTTTCAGGAGGTTTGTGATACACAGAGGACAATGTAGCAATATTAGCGAGAAGTTCATCGAGGAGGGATGATTCAAATTGATTTGAATCATCAATGACCACTGATTTCTCAGCCAAAACAACGTCTTTAGCAGCCTGATGTGTAAATTATGAGTCATTATGACGAATGGGTTTCTAAAACTTTATTATGAGAACCAAAAAACATATGAATTGCTGAAAACAAACATAACTAAATGAATAAACTAAATACAAGCCTCCTATTCCCCTAAAGTTAAGAAAGATGGGGACCATGTTTTTATCAAATGATGCATAAAACTCTAGGTTTCGGGAAAGTCAGTTATCATATATAATATTATAATATATGCTGCATTATGAAAACATGGAGATACAAGATTAACATTTTAGAATGTTCTGACCTTACAGAATATGAGTTATGAGTTCAATAAAATCAGGAGATAGCAGCAAGTAGCTCAGTAAATACAAACCTCAGGATCAGTTGAAAGAAGACGCCAATATATGTATGCACGATCTCGTAGATCTGGATTGTCAGTCTCCAAAGTTGCATTATTCAAAACAACCTACAAAGAGAATAACGCATCATGAAACCAGATCCACATAGATAGAAATACAGAGTCTGAACTTTAACGGACTCTTTTTAAACACCATACACTTTAAAATGTTCAAGGACATGACAACCGATTGGATCTCTTGGAGATGGAAGACTAGGGTAGCAGACTATGGGTACAAACTTGTAGCATGGATAGGAGGAGGGGAATTTGGAGATGATAAATGAGACAAGAGGATGGGTAGCGCGGTAGCAGTTAGGTTACCAGCGTCTTCTATCGTAAGATAGAGGGTTGTCGTAGTATGTCCTACTTTTCTTGTCTACCATTGTATCTTCTCGTGTGATGCTTTATTGTACAATAGTCTTCATTTTTCTACTTGCACTAGTAGTTCTGGATACTAACTTTGTGTTTCCTTCTTTGTCTTAACCTATTTTCCTCACATTTGTCTCTGGATTCTATGCTACTTTTCTGTTACTGTTATGGTATCCATTATGCCTGACGTATAGAAACACAACAATGTAATCAACGAATGATACCTGAATCATCTGTTGGGGCCCTTCAGTTGGCTTCTTAAGAAAAAGTTTGACTGTTGCTGTCAATAACTGCAACTGGACTTGTGCAGGTTCTTCAGGGAAACTCTCCAGAAAGCTTTCAAGAAGTTCATCGGCATTATCAATTCTTTCAGCGTATTCGCCAATTATCCAAATCATTGATGCCTGTGCAGAAAAGGAAAGCTGGTAAAGTTACCACGGGAAGCAGAGTATTTAGAGTTCATTCAGACATGCACTGTACCTTTGCTTCTGGCTCATCCAAAGTGTCCAAACTCTCACAAAGTGTGGCAATGATAGATTCATAACTGAGGGAAATAATAGATTAGGGGTTAAGTTTGAAATACAGTTATTCTGTAAGATATCATGGTTAAATTTAGCTGCATATAAATGGGGCATCAGAACCTTACGTGTTAGGATATCTTCTAAAAATATCTTTAATGACAATGATAGCTTCTTGAACTACATAGTTTACTTTAATTTTGATCAGCTCCAGAAGAACACTAATGCAACGCTCAGCAGCTCTTTCTAACTTGATAGCACAACGCCCAATGGCACGAATGGCCTTTCTGACAAAATCTACATCTACTTCTGTTGCATACTCTTTAAACTCCAACAATACCTGGGACGGAGAGTGTATTACCACATAAAACAAGATCCATTGAATACAGCAAAAATATCACTAGCTTCAAGAGCATTTATCACCTGGTCAATATTTCTATCTGAAGAAAGCTTTATCATGATCTCTAACTTTTCCATCTTCACATATACCGGATCATTGTACTTGCAAAAAAACACCTGGAAAGTAGGTTGATTTAATGTTATATCTCCCTGCTATTAGTATAATCCAAAAGATAAAAAAAGGTTGACCATAATACCTTAATTTCATGGGCAAGAATTGTAGGTCGCCTTTGTACAATAAGGTTAATGTTCCTTAAGGCAACATATTGAATCTCAGGTTCTGCAGAAAGTAATGTTACAAGCGGAGGAGCCATTTTCTTGCATAGATTTCGAATCATATCATGACTAGTGATCAGTTCCATTTGTTGAAGGATCATCTACGGAGGTGATAATGATAATGATTTTTAGGCTACAGGAAATAAGAATTTGAACAAAAGGCAATGTTAAAAGAAAAGAAGAAAGCGGAGTCACCTTAACAGCTGAAAGAACTACCGCACAATTTGCATGTTGTAACCTTGGAGTAACTCTCTCTACAATATTTTCAGCTTCACGTGCATTAGCTGCTTTGTACTTGGAAAGAGAATCTAATATGAAAACTTGACCCCATCTGAATCATGTTCACAGGACATTCCAACAAAGTAAAGTAAGAGCAAAACAAGCAAGTGAAGCAAGGTGCAGCAGAACACTAACCACACTACAAAATTAAAGTAAGAGCAAAACAAGCAAGTGAAGCAAGGTGCAGCAGAACACTAACCACACTACAAATTAACTTTATAGCAACTTTTACCAAAAGAAAACATTGTATTTAAGAATTAAGAATCACACTCACTCGGTGCATTCATTTAGAGCTGTAAGGAGCTTTGTAAGTGTAGGGCTAGTGACCTCAAGAATGAGTCTACTGCTGGTATCTTGGATTTCTGCAAGAGCTGCAACAGCATTTGCTACAACCATAGGGTTATTGTCAGATATCAAATCCTTGAGTCCTTCTAAAAAACCCCTATCTTCAACCAACTCAGCATCAATGTCATAAAGTTTAGCAACACATATAGCTGCTGTCTTTCGAACATAAGGATCATCATCCTGAAAGAAATAGCACAAAAAAACACAAAGATGAATATAACTGTTAGCCAAATAGATACTAATGGTTCTTCTTTCTAGTTTATTTTTGCATAGTAGTGATATATAATCTTGGACATTTCTTTGTATTTTGCATGTACAATAAACAAATGATCTTCTCATACTCGGTTTGATCAAAAGTTCAAGATTCCAACAAAAGAGAAAGGTAAACCAACCTTAAGACATCTATAGAGGGGATCACAAAGATATTCTGTAATTTTATCAACTCGTATACATCCCATCGTCCGAACAGCTAAAGCGCGGATTAAAGGATTTGGGTCCTGTGTATCCTGTAATTCTCATTAATGCAATCCCCTATTAGAATGTCAGTAAACAAAATTAAAAATCTTTTCAAAGGCCTATTTTGGATGTTCAATAAAATTAAAAACAATAATAAATTCATATTTATACCAAACAAAAACAGCAAAAGAAAAAAGATGACACATGCTTATTAGACACAAAACAACACTAATTATTGTACCTAAAGAATGACGTAGAATCTGAAACCCATACTACTTAAGTACAAGGTAACTTTAGAAGGGGGATTGTAGATAATGGTCTGAACTAAACTCAAACAAAGAGGCAAATGGAATTTTCTTTGAGAGGCTCATGTGATGAAGTCAAGAATATACACGATAGGGAGGTCGTCGTTTCTAGCCTCGACTCTCAAGTGCTACATTTAGAAAGCAAAGGCATACAAAACATGTTAAAGGAAATTCTATTAACGACAGTAGATTTAGCAGCAATCATTTCAACCAGATGTTGGCAAAAGCAGAAGTTTTACGGTTCTCAAATTGATTTTTCCTTCATATGTTACACAAGTCATCAAATCTAATACCACCTTCATTTGACAAGTACAACACCATTTGACTTGTTACACATACTTAGGAAACTGTTTGACTATAACTATTTCCTTGAAATGCCCTTTCTCTTGTGTGGGAATTTGACGAATTTAAAAGTAAATATATATAGGAATAGGTCTTAGTGACATAGGAATATGGTAAACTGGATTTCTATTGCAACAATTTGACTGTTTAGGTAATTCACTCTTGATGGAAATACCAAATGGGAATTGTTGCACCGCTCTTTGATAAGACCATAGACATGTGACAAATTTTCTTCTAACAAATTCTGTTTGATTTATAAAACAGAGGTTGCTATTGCAGCAATGTTCAAAATCTTGGACTAATGAAGTGCTTCATTAGTATCACTAGAATGTCATAAGACAAGTGTCACAACTTTCCATCATGTAGAAGTGTAATCCACACCGACTCCCAAGATTGAATTCACATCATCATTACTGAATTATACAGTTCTCTATCACTTAAAAATTAGTCCATTACATATAAGCATCTGAGAATTTGGCATGTTTCAAAAATCCAGATAATGGTGGCAATATTTTTCTCTTATTCAAAACATATTCCAACATTAAAAATCAAGAAAATGTCCCCCAAACTAGACCTTGAGAGCACAAAGAACAAATTTATCAATAAATGATCTCCAACTTAGTTTCCATTTATACAAGCATCCAAATATTCCACCCCAAAAAGCAAGAGAAAGGGTGCATCCTTGCATCTTTCTTGTATCCTATTCGTGCAAACTTTGTAACATACTGCAGTATTTACTGTCTTCATCAGCACCCTTGTGATATTTGTGATCACTATTCCTACTTGTTACACCTTTCAACTAAATATTAGATATGAAATATACACAACATGGAGTATCCTCAACATCAGCATGAAAAACAAACCCACTGAGAAGGAAACACCCCCCCACCCCCCCAATATGCAATCTATCAACATATTTTAAACATGTGTCCCATTTGTCAGATGTGCTATGCTCGATTGCAAGAAGATCAATTCGCTTCAAAGACCTTAAAAATACATTACAAGTATAAGTGACATCATCATGAATGGGCCAACATCATCTCTTGTGACATAAACATGTTCAGGTATGGTCTTCCAAGGCATCATGAAGATGGTTCACAAACTTGTGGTTAATCTTTTACTTCACCTGTGAAAGAGAGCACTTAGATGGGAACAAGGTTTTGAAAGACAAAAACATGAGATGAAGCGCTTTCCCTTAGTAATTGAGGCGTATGCCTCAACAATAAGATCTTAAGAAGATGCAATACAAAAACACATTTGGACCGCCTCGCCTCAACTGATTTTTAAAACCATGGATGGGAACATGCATAGCATGAATTAGTATAAGTAGTAATGTGATCATATTCTGCTAAGACAAAACTACAAGGTGCAACTATAACCTAGATGTGAAAACCCGAGCTTTTCCAGCTTATTACCTTCACGAAAGTATTCACTGCGAGTATTGCCAAGTCAGGTTGGCTTTTAGCATAATTAATGAGATACAAATAAACAAGCTTTTTGAGTTCCAAATTTTCTGTCTGCATACAGTTCACAACATCTGTGAAAAGTGATGAAACATCCTTCCCTACAGTCATAGCAGCAATGACCTTTTTAACAGCATCTTTTCTCTTATCCTGAATGGCAGAAGACGAGTTTCCATCAAGATAACAAACCAAAAGTACCACAAAAAAAGCCATGCAGCATGCAGTCTGTTAGTATGGAAAACACTAGAAAAAAACATGATATTCACCCCTGTTCCTTTCCTCTTTATCCAACTATAGTATGTTATTTTATGTCCAAGAGCCTTGATTGTTTCACCTCTCCTTTTCATGTTCCCAAGGGCTTCCTTTTTAGCCTATCCCCAACAGTTTAGGATATAAGACTCATTGTTGTCGTTGTTTGTGGGGCATGTTCAATTAACCCAATACCCAAAATAATACTACCAGGTTGATGCAACAACAGTTTGAATATACTGCTTACTATAAATCTCCTAATCACTTACCGGACCTTGTAAAACAAGGTATTGCAAAGCAAAAGAAATTGTGTCACCACTTGATGAATCATGTCACTCCTAGCTCAATCTCTTTCAAGAGAACCATCAATCAAAGATAAAAATTGCACAGTAGTCACGTGCTGGTTGCAAAGGTAATAATTGAAACGTGTCAAATTGACTAATGTTCATGTCAATGTGTTGCTTCGTCATGAATTCCAAGAGCATAGCACCCAAAGTTCAATGTGAAACCGATGAGAATCATTTAGTTAATATTACGACTGAATTTCAGTCTAATTTCAAACTTCAGTAAATATATTATGTGTAGTCAAGGAACACCGAATTTGCAAAATGCAAGCATGTGCATGCAAGGTAAAAAGTTATGCACACTTGCCTGTGAATTTTCACAATTTCACATGCTACATTTTAGAATCTTCAGATTCATGGAATAATGGGGAGACTGCATAATTCAAGCTCCACAAATGGAACGGAGGCTCATTGCCTCATTCATGCTAATATTATAACTAAATTTTCCGCCAAATCTCAGAATTCGAATACATGCATTCCCGATCACAAGGTTATATAATCATATCAGTGATTAATCTAACAATATAACTGGCACAATGTGACGATGACAAATGATTCAAGCGGATCAACAAAAACACACTTACGTTATTATTGAATTTGGATAATTTACATTTTACAATTAAATCGTATGCAAGCATACAATTACGACATGTATTTATACAAACACGCACACACACATATGTATATATATATGTCTGTGTGTGTGTGTGACAGATGAAAATGCATATATAGAACCTTGTACTGAGAATTCAGCTCCTCTTTGAGCTCCGGTATTTCTCCCTTTTTAGTTGTGGAGAAGTATTTTGAATCATGGCCGCTCATCTCTGTAGGTGAACTCCGACGAGGGGATCCGACGGAGAAGACGGTTTCTAGAGAGAGAAAGTGGGAGCTTGGAGAAAATGACGATACGATGATGATCTCAAAGGACTGATTAAAAACTGAAACGGGTCAAACTACGGGTCGGATGGCTCTTTGTTTGGGTATTCCTACACTTAGTAGCGTTTGGTATGCAAACCGGACGGGACGGGACTAAATCATCTGTCCTATGTTTGGTACGATGAAACAACAATGGACAAAACTGTTAAAATGATCAGATTGCCCCTAAATGTTATTTAATGTTATTTTGCATCAGTAATGATCGTAAATGACACAAATCAACCAAAATGTATTTAAATAATTACACATATGATATTTATACTATTTTCTAAATTTATATACACGTAACACAACAATTGTAAAAAATATACATAATTTAAAAATATTCCAACACATATATCGAAAGACTACACAGATTGAAGCTCATATATGAAGAAACCAGCCATGGCCCATGGGCACCAATCGAAAACCAAACATCGATCCTCARGGATAGAACTTATAACTACAAAAAGAAAACACGGGGAAAACAGGGTGAGAAAGATTGAAGCAATAGATGAAACCGTACCTATCAATCGAAGCAATCGATTGAAGAATATAGCCGGAAGAGATGATGGAAGACATGGCGAGAAGATTGAAGCAACCGATTGAAATCAGGGTGAGAAAAATTGAAGCAATCGATGAAACCGTACCTCTCTGCACAAATTTGAGTGTCTGTTCGTTTTCATGAATCAGATCGACTAAACAATCTAATAATCGCAATAAATCATCGATATCCCCAAATTTCACATAGTTCTTCCATAATTCAATTGAAAATTTTGAAATTATTTACGTAAAAACAAGGAGTTCAGAGAAAATTATGGATAGCGGCCCTCTATTCTACAAGGAGGGTTACCAACGATGATACCTAAAACTGAGAAAAAAACGTTGCAGATCATCATCGGCATCATCAAAAAATTCTTCTAGACCTTCAGGGTGCGTTTGGTTTGCGGGAATGTTTTTGAGGGATTTGGATTCCATGGGATTTGGATTGGATTGGATTTGAAATCCATTCCTCTGTTTGGTTTGTAGGATTTGGTTTCTAATACTTCGTATAATTTTCTTAACCTAATCTGTGTTCATGAGATTTCAACCTAATCTGTCAAAATTGAGGGATTTAACCTAATCTGTGTTCATGTATATTCAACCTAATCTGTCAAAATTGAAGGATTTAACCTAATATGTGTTCATGTATATTCAACCTAATCTGTCAAAATTGAAGGATTAACCTAATATGTGTTCATAGTTTAGAGAGAAATCCAAAAGGGGAAAATGATTTACCTGTTGACGATAGGCGACGGAGACGAAGGGCGACTGTTGACGAAGGGCGACGAAGACGAAGGGTGACGGCGGTGGCAACGGAGACGAAGGGCGACGGCGACGGAGACGAAGGGCGACGGCGACGGTGGCGACGGAGACGAAGGGCGACGGCGACGGTGGCAACGGAGACGATGAGAAGGAGACACGATGAGAAGGAGACAACGATGAGAAGGAGACGATGAGAAGGAGGCGATGATGGGAATGGATTTCAAATCTCGTGTAAGGGCGAAGGATTCTCAAATCCAGTGTTGGTGGGATTTTAAATGAATCCCGAGATTTTAAATCCGACCATTTCTACAAACCAAACGCAGGATTGGAATGGATTTCAAATCCAAATCCCTCAAACCAAACGCGCCCTCACTCCTCTTGGCTTTCTTCTCTTGCCTCGCGTGGCTTTAAATCGCCGGCAGGTATGTATTGTTTTAGGTTTAGTTTATTTGAGAGGGTATAGAAGTAATTTTGTAGTTTGTCCCATGTTGTTCCACCTTTTTTGGTGGAACAATACATCTCAAGATTTGTCCCACTAAAATTAAAAATAATCTCACCTTGTCCAATGCTTTTTCTGTCCATGACATGCCAAACATGAGACTATTTTTTTTGTTCCGTCCCGTCCCATGTAGTCTGCCAATTTTCTTTTTTCGGTACAAATAGATCCGATAACACACATATGGATCAAAACGTTGGGTTTCGGCGGAAAGAAAAGTTATAATGAGAAACGTAAGAAAAAAATTTCATTATTTGATCAATTTTAATTGAAAGTCAACGCTAATGAGGTGCACCGAGATGCATCAGATCAATTCTCTTCTAAAATCCAATTCGTAGGTAAACATAAAATTAAAAATAATCAAGAGTTCAGATTCTTTTTACGTTTCTCATCATAATTTTCTTTCTCATATGATCCTTTATATAAATCAATAATTATCCATTGACAGATTTTAAAATATTATATATTTAAGGTATATCAATATTTACAATTTTCTGCCATCCAATTTTATTTTTTAAAATTCACAAATAAATACATTGTTTTGTTTATTTACATTTGAAATGTATATAACTATATAAAAAAGAATCATCAAAAGATGATATGGCATCTTGAAAGAGTTAGGTGGCGTTTGTTTTTTAAGAGGTGTTGAAGTCTGAAGTCTGAATTCACTTCTGAATTTTAAGAGGTGCTGCTGAAGTCTGAAATCTGAATCAGTCAGACTGTTTGTTTTTACATATGAAATCTGAATCTGAAATCTGAATCAATAAGACTGTTTGTTTTTGTAAACTGACAGGTGTTGCTGAAGTCTGAAATCTGAATCAATTCATTTCATTTAAATCTGAAATATCCAATCATTTAAATCATTTATAAACTGCCATATATATTTAACACATTCAAAAATTCAATTGAAATACGTCAATTGATTCAACACACAATAGWAAACACGAATAAAATCTCATAACAACTACAATCAATATTCATTTTGTAATTGTGTCGTAATTTCTTCTCTTAAACTAGCCATATATGTTTGGTCAGCGACACTCCCATGCGATTGAATCTCTTCAGCCTCATCCTCGCCATCGTTCTCTTGTTCGCTGGTTTGATCATACTCAGAAAATAGCTCATCACTTAAACCTTCCTTCCGTATGAAGTTGTGAACCGCAAAACATGCAGAGGAGTGAGCAGTTAAGAATTGGGTGTTGATGTGATCCCATCGACATATCTTAAAAATCCAATCTTTTTTTTTTCTTTTTTCTTTTCTTTGGTGGTGAGTCTTGAGAGAGCAGCAACAACTGGTGGGTTGTCTCTTCGCCCCCAAATACCCCAAAAACACGAAAAGTCCATTACTTGCAAATCAAAGCCAAGATCTAGATCAGCAAAAGCACACATTATCTACAGATGTACCAAAATCGAAACCATTCCAACAACAATGCTAAATCAAGTATGGAGAAACCGATATAACTCAAGATCTACATCATAGACAAAACATTCGAATCCAGACCGTGAATCAGTGAGTAAAAGTTCATGATATTATTAGTTGAGCACAAACAAACAGTAAAGAGACGTAAAATCATACCGTTCTTGACCGGCGGTGTCCCAGATCTGAGCCTTGACAGACTTGTGCTTTATAACGAGAGTTCGGGTCTGGAACTCGACACCGATAATGGAACTGAACTCGTTTCTGGAGAAGCGAGCAAGTATATGTGATTTGCAGTGCAAGGAGAAACAAAATCAGAAATCAATAGATGAACAAAATCGAGATGAACCAACAAAAACAGAAATCGAGATGGATACCTAATCGAGAGATCGAGATGGATAGAATAAATCGAGAGATCGAGAAGAAGACGGTAGGCGACGCAAGGCGATTGAGAGAGAGATCTGGTAGGCGACGCAAGGAATTAAGAGGTTTTCAGACTTTAGGATCCCTCTAAATAATTCAGACATATTGAGAGTTTTTAAGCACTTAATTTAAAAAAAAAAAAACGCACTTAATACCTCAATGTCTGACCGATTCAGACATAAGAGGCAATTAAGTGCTTTTAAAAAAAAATAAACAAACAGGGCCTTAGAATTATTAGTTGTTATTTTTCTTAATTTTTGAATTATTTAAAATAAAAACATATCATTAAATAAATGAATATTTCATTTACTTTTTATATATAAGTTACATATAATAATCTAATAAACCTTTAAATCTTTATATCTATAAATATATTAATCTATATATTATATATATTATAAGTTGCATCTATTTTTTTATACGTATTAATGTATTGCTTGTGATAAGTTTTTAGTTATATATCGATTATGATAATCATTCTATATATTGATTGTCATAATTTTCTATTTTACCTTTATGGTCAATGAGTTAACATCACAATACTTTGTAAAACCGATAACCAAATGAAAACTATTTTGCTCTCTCAAAACCACACAAAACTATAAACTAAAATTAAAATGGACAACAAATAATGGGGGTGTTGAAAAACTTGACCAACTCAACTCAAAGTCACCCGATGTCAAACCGAGTTATAAAATCTTCAAACTGTAGGGTTTTTGTTAGAATTGAGTTAATCTCATTTGAACTCAACCTAACCAGATGAACCGATGCCCCTCTTATATGCTATATGCATCTACCGCTAGATATGTAGTTAGCATTGTCTTTCATCTGCATGGTCATGACAGATAACTATTTTTCATACGCATATCACAATGACCCAATAATTTACTTTCTATCTGCAGTAATGTTCAACTCCTTTTTGGTGCCAAGCTGCCTTTTATTTATTCTTCATGCAACGAAGGTCAATAAAACTGATATTATTGAATAGGTGTTTAAGTATGCTATTACAATGTTGTCATTATCTCACAACATGACAACCTAACTCGCAACAACCCAATCCTGCACAGGTTGCGTTTGATTATGCTTTAAATATTTTTAATGGGTTTAACTTTTTTGTAACACATTAATTGGGTTGGATTCTTCAAACGCCTTCAAATCGGCCAACTCAACAATAAGGATAAACCCAATATCAGTTATGTTTCGACCCGTTGGATAAGGATGCGAGTAAAAACAATTTTATTCATTTATTCAATCGTCTATTACATGTTTATCCAACATTTAAGCTGGTGGGGTACGGTGGATAAACGTTTTTCCGTTATCCATTTACTCGTAACATGTTACTATATATAGTTATATATAATTAAATGTTATATAAAAATTAAAGGGTTTATGATTATTAAATGAGGAAAAAAAACGAGGTCGGAAAAATAAATACAACGAAAATGTTGTCTTTCAAAATTTATATTATTATTTTGAACCAAACGCCTCCTAACGTTATAAACTAAGGGGCCGTTTACCAAACATATACTTGGGTAAGTGTTTACTAAGTCACATTACCTCATCGGACGAATATGGTAAGGACAAAAAATCTTACCCGGTAAGAGCAAGACAAGGACCAAGAGTTTTACCCGGTAAGTGAGGACGACGACTCTTGCCACAAATTGTTGCATGCGATATTGTTTTGATGGACTAAAATCTTACCCAGTAAGTAAATAATAAGGTTAAATTTTATTGGTAAACACTTACCGGATAAGTATTTGATAAACGACCCCTAAATAATCAAATTGTATCGTGTTGCATTATCCATAAAAAAAAATTCCCTTTCAAATGTATTTAATTTACCCGATGATGTAGAAAATGGTGTGAAATACGGATTCTGTACAAACCCTGCAAATCGACCCGAACCCGACTTCGGAAACCGCCTCTCTCAAGAACCACCGACTCCGAGTCCCACTTGAAGAACAAAACCCGGCTATATAAACTTGCTCCGACAACACTCAGAAAACTTTCATCTTCTCCCAATTTGTACACGCCGATTGTTGATTCCATTGGCAAATCTCAGGACCGATCATGGGACACGGTATTTTATAATTTCGGTTAAAAAACCTAACTCTACGATCAACATACCATGATCTCAATCAAAACGCAAAGGATTTGTATGCACGAATGCGATAATTAATCAGAGTTTAACTTTCTTAAGTATTTTTTTTCAGGTGAGAAAAGTGGGAGACCTAGCAAGAAGCACAAATCATCATCCAAGGTAATTCACACAAAAAAACTGTTGTAATGTGTTATTATCACCTTTGATTCTATTATGTGGGAGCAGATTAATGTTTATCGTAGTTGATGAATTGTTAATTGAACTTGGACAGCTTATATAGATGACTTTTTAAGTTATACTTCGTCTAGAAACAGGCAATTTGTTGCTGATGAACCGTTAATTGGTTCAGGGGAACTGGTATTAATGAAAATTTTAAATTGTCCTTTGTCCTTGTTACCATCCCATTTGATTATTTTGTTTAATTTGGTATTTGAGAAGTAAATTACCGTTTCATTATATTTGATGAACTATTATTTGAAACAGGGCAGCTCATATAAATGAAAATGTAGATTATACTTCAACCTTTCCAGGGAAGAAAAATGTACTTGGAGTTTTGAGGTGAAAAAGACTACTTTCTAAGATTAATGTTTATAAACTTTTCCTGGAAAGATTTGGTAACATGGATGGCTTAATGTTGGTGTCTTGGCGACAACAGGATTTATGCAATTTTTGAACTTAGAAGTCATATGCTGTTTAAAATTTCATGTAGTCGTCCCTTCGAGTATAGGGAACATGAATGTTTTTGAAACTCTATAAGCATATTATCTGTTTAGCTGATGCTCAAAATCTGAGCGTGGAATTGAATCTTGGATAAGTTTTGATGTTTCGTCCGGATCTATAGATTAGGATATAGGGAGTGTAGAGGACAAATTTGGTGAGTCAAGTAATGGTTCAACTGAATGGTGTGTGTACGTGTTATCATGAAGGAGGACCATAGAGCTGCAGCTTTCGAAGAGGAGGATGCATATTATGTTGAAGATTTTATGGACGATGATCATGATGGTACTTTTATCTAATTTTTAAATAACATGGGTTGTGATTATATGTTTTCTTGGTTTTGAATGGTCAAAATGAACTGAAATGATTGTTTTTATGATTTATGTAAGGTGACGGAGAAGGAAAAAAGAGAGACTTTACCAAATTGGAACTTAAAGCAGATCATATTAATCGCCCATTATGGGCTTGCGCAGATGGCCGGATCTTTCTCGAGACTTTCTCTCCGTTGTATAAACAGGCTTATGATTTTCTAATTGCTATTGCGGAACCTGTCTGCAGGTAGTGTATGTCTGTGTCTCAACTACTCGTTCATATGGTTTTTTCTGCATAAAGTTTTGAGACATTTCGTGCTTGGCGCCTTTGTACTTGTAGGCCGGAGTCAATGCATGAATACAACCTCACTCCTCACTCACTTTATGCGGCTGTGTCGGTCGGTCTAGAAACTGAAACCATCATTGCTGTTTTGAACAAGCTTTCAAAAACCAAGCTTCCTAAAGAGATGATCGATTTCATTCATGCTTCCACAGCCAATTATGGAAAAGTAAAGCTCGTATTGAAGAAGAATCGGTATCTAGTTGAATCTCCTTTCCCAGAGGCAAGATTGCTCATCTTTTCTCCCTCAACATAACCAATAGTTACTATTCAAGTATTAGTTCCTTATTTGACGGTTATTTCCAGGTATTGAAAAGATTGTTAAGCGATGAAGTCATATCTCGAGCAAGGATTTCAAATGAGGTCTGTCTTTGCTGTAAATTTCTCTTCAATTATTATTGCTCCTCGTTTTGGTTATTGTTAAGGTAAACACAGAACTTGAACATTGATGTTGCTGGTAAAACTTAACTAGCTGTTTCTTTGGACAATATATTTGTTATTGGTACATAATATTATGCTACGACAACCTGTCAAATCAATGAAAACATAGTGCACTCGAATTACCATGTTTTCTTCATAATGCTCAAATGATACGTCATCTAGTTATGTTTCTGTGTTTCAAGTGGGCTTCTCTGAATCTCTATGGTTGCATCTTTCTTAATTTAATCATTTTAACCTTCTGATATCTGCTTAGATTTAGGGTTTATTTTGAAGAAATAGTTGGTTTCAACCTTGATGTTTTTTTGTTTGGGGAAATTGAAATTCACAATTTGAAGATCCTTCCATTTTCTACTTTCCGTTTTATTTTCTGGCATTGATCCTGGTTTCATACCTTTTTACACTCAGGGATGTGATGGATTCACTGTTAGTAGATCGATCGGTGAAATTGAAGGTACACATGATGAACTGCTAAATGAAGCACAATTGGCAGCTGCAGCTGAAGAAAAAGAAGCTCATTCGTTTGAAATTGATCCTGGTCAGGTAGATTCTTCATCTCTTTGACTTAGGGACCTCGACCCATCTTCTAAGAGCATTCTTTTAGTACAGGGATGGATGAATTGGAGTATCTACCTGGATACCAGGGACAGGCTTTATCACATGGATATTGCCTTGGTCTTAGATTTCCAAGTCTTTTTGATGTTGTGAAAACTATGCATTTTCTTTCCATGTTGGTAGCTATTCTGTTTTTTTGATTTCGTGATGGATAGGTTAGGTACATACCTAGTGTGCTTTTCTTAGATCTCATTAGAAGTTGCATGTTAAGAGGCTAAACCTTGAGCTCCTGTATAGCACACTGTTGATAGGCATATGTTATTGTAGTGGCATACTGGCATCAGCCATCCGGCATGTGGTCATTGATCTGGAGATTGGGGGGTTTTGATATTCTTGAAGGAAAGTTGGGTGGTAAGATTTCTTGCAAATAAAAAATGAGTTCTGAGAATTAAAGGTCTTTCTAGTCTCTTTCAACAATTCATAAATGACCTTTATCTTCCTAGCTTACTTCTTTTTATGGTATCTGGTATTAATTTTTGATGAAGTTCATCTTACCATGCATCACTTAAATAGCAGAAGAATGGTTATGAGAATTGGCACATCATATTGTAGGAAATTTAGGCTTTACATGGATTTTCGTTGAGATGATTTTGACTTAACGAATTTACATGACAGGTTGAAAATGTAAAGCAGAGGTGCTTGCCAAATGCTCTAAACTATCCTATGTTGGAGGAGTACGATTTTCGCAATGATACAGTGAGTTTCCTCTAGTTCTGTAACATTCTTTAATTCAGTTTTTGTTTGGAAGGTGAACAATGGATAGGCTTAAATGAAGGGAACAATTGGCTATTTCTTCTAGTCAAAATTTAGGAATGAGATTTGTGGTCTTTTCTAGGATTGATAATTGCTCATCTGTGAACTGCAGATTAATCCAGACCTTGAGATGGAACTAAAGCCTCAAGCACAACCACGGCCTTATCAAGAGAAGAGTCTTAGTAAGATGTTTGGAAATGGTAATGACACTTTCTAAATATTCTAATAGTTCTGAGTTTGCTTTCATCCTCTATGTTCCATATCAATTATCATGTATGCATGTACCCCCTCCCCCCCATCCCAAGATGCCTGAGAATCTGACAAGTCTTGCTGAGAATTTTCTATATTCACGTGCTTGCCGCAATTCAGATTGAACTTTCTGCCACTCATAGAGGCTAAAACAGAGAAAAAGACATTAAAGTGCTGGGAAACAGGGTGATGCAGATCTTAATGAATCAAATTGCTCCAACTTTATTAGACAACTGAAATAATGTGCCTCTGTATTCACAGCACAAGTCAAATGAATTTTGTGAAGAGAGGATAGAAGAACAATGACATCTATGAAGTAGTAGCACCTAAGGGAGATGGAAGGAAGAACGACCAGGCCACCTAGATAAAGCGGGAACTGAACCTTGAGAAGAGTAGTGGTGTAATGGTATCTGCATGACCATGTTATATGGAAATGGCATTTATACGGCCTGGATAGTAGTGAATGTTAAGATCTAGAAGGCTGACAGATCTCTGTTGTGTATGATTGCCTACAGCTCTTATGCATAACATATTCACGTTATTGCCATGATTTCTTGTGTACGGAAGAACTTTCTGCTTGTTGAGTTTTTTTCTCTTCACGTTACAGGTAGAGCAAGGTCTGGCATCATTGTCTTGCCTTGTGGTGCTGGAAAGTCTTTAGTGGGGGTTTCCGCAGCCTGTCGCATAAAGAAAAGCTGTCTCTGTTTAGCAACAAATGCTGTTTCTGTGGATCAATGGGCTTTTCAGTTCAAGTTGTGGTCAAACATTCGTGATGAACATATTTGTCGGTTTACATCTGATAGCAAAGAGAGGTTTCGTGGAAATGCTGGAGTTGTTGTGACCACATATAACATGGTTGCTTTTGGAGGTAAGCGATCTGAGGAATCTGAAAAGATCATTGAGGAGATAAGAAATAGAGAATGGGGCTTGCTACTCATGGACGAGGTATAACCATAATTTCATGTATGGATTCGCCTCCTTAATGATGTGAAATAGTACCTTTTTCTTAGTTGTGGCGCATGTTCAGGTGCATGTTGTTCCTGCTCACATGTTTCGTAAAGTCATTAGCATCACTAAATCTCACTGCAAGCTTGGACTTACTGGTATGTTTTTAATGGTGCTAAGGTGTATGATTATGAGATCCTTCAATGTTCTTTTGTCTGAGGTGGGGTTTCACAATTTTGCAGCCACACTTGTTAGAGAGGATGAAAGGATTACGGATCTGAATTTCCTTATTGGTCCCAAGTTGTATGAGGCAAATTGGTTGGATTTGGTCAAGGGAGGATTCATTGCAAACGTACAATGTGCTGAAGTTTGGTGTCCAATGACAAAAGAGTTTTTTGCCGAATATCTAAAGAAGGAGAATTCTAAGAAGAAACAGGTATGATGGTTTAGAAAACGAATACACTCTTAATGCGTGCATTTTGCCACGGAAACTTGTTATGGATAAAGGGATAAAGAACATTTGTGTCAAGTATTTGGCGAGAGTAATGGTATCACACACCTAGATCAACAATCAGTTTAGAAGGGCACTTTTATAGGATTAAACAAATTTCTAGGCCGTCGTTGCTGCCTAATCCACTCTATCATATTAAGCAGGATTAAGTAGCTATTAAATTGCATGGCGTCAAGCAAGATTAAGCGGCAACTCTCTACTTCAATTTATGTTGATTGCTAGTTGTGGGATTTTCTTTAGACAGTGAAAGTAGTTTTACTGATCAAGAAATATCAATATATACGAGATGAGATTGCTGCAAGGCTTGGCCCAACAGAGTCATCCAAGTTCTCTGTGGGATGTTAAGTTTGCCTTTTGAGTACAAAATGGGAGGTATATGAAATCATCAACATTATAATTATACGTCAACATATTTGTATGAATATAAAAAGATCAAGTATGATATTAATACACACAAAAAAGTTAGTATCAGTACAAATTATGACGTAGGCTCTACCACTTGGACCGACCTTAGGCTCGCACCCTTCCCAAGTGGCCAAGTGCAATGGAGGTCACCAACCTAGACCATAGGCCTCATTGATAACCCATTGATCCTGTCCAGCTAAGTAAGTTAGTATTTATGTTGGACCATTTAAGGGACCAAGATCCAAATTAAAAGGTTAAACTGCTAGAAGGTCCCTTGGCTGCTAGAACAAGGATTTTGTGTTCGACTCTCACTTCTGGACCAGCAAGAGTGTTTGTGTAACAAGTAAACGGGTGTTTCACTTGTCTGTTATAATGCATTACTTTGTAAATATTAAAAGATGGTGGGTGTTCTTCTAGGTCTATAGCTACAATTGTGTATGTTCTTTCTTTCAACAAGTTGGTAATTGCTTCAAATTGCAGGCACTATATGTGATGAACCCAAACAAGTTTAGAGCTTGCGAGTTTCTTATTCGATTCCATGAACAACAGCGTGGCGATAAGATAATTGTCTTCGCTGACAATCTTTTTGCACTCACTGAGTATGCAATGAAACTTCGCAAACCAATGATCTATGGTGCCACAAGGTCCATTCTGGCTTACAGTTTAAGAAACAATTTTTATCTTCACCTGCACATGTCCAAGTAAGAAGTATTATGTATCCTTTGCAGCCATATGGAAAGGACAAAGATACTTGAGGCTTTCAAGACTAGCAAGGAAGTTAACACCGTTTTCCTTTCAAAGGTACGTTCCCTGAAATGTCGTTCTGGTACTCTTTTTAGTTGTAACTTTGCGACGTTGCCTATACCGGCAGCAAGTTGCTATCTTGTTTGGTTAGGGAGGGAAAAGAGCTAGGGCCATCTTTTTAGCACCTTTGGTTTTTGCTTTCTTCTTTCGAATTCTGTTTTGCTGTAGTGGCCTTTCCAGAAAACTTGAGAAAAGGTAAAGTGCCATTGATATATGATGCTAGTTCGCATAGGCATATTTGCTGGTTGATAAAATACTCGTTCCTTTGTTCTGTCATGTGCCACTTACAAGAATTAAGAAGACCATTTGTTTGTTTCTTGGCTCTTTATTGGTGGAAGAACTGCTTTGTTTCTTGTAGGTGGGTGATAATTCTATAGATATTCCCGAGGCAAATGTAATTATTCAAATTTCATCCCATGCTGGTTCAAGACGTCAAGAAGCTCAACGTCTTGGCCGTATTCTCAGGGCAAAGGTATTTTGGCTTTGTTTTCTCTTTAATTCTTATTGTGCCTGAAAATTGAATTGTCTCTATTATATTGATCGACAATATGCCGATTGTTTCTATTTTCTTTTCTGAACTGGTGATCATCAACTTTCTTTAATGTTGTTATCGAGTATAGGGTCGACTCCAGGATAGAATGGCAGGAGGAAAAGAGGAATATAATGCCTTTTTCTACTCCCTAGTATCTACTGATACACAGGTAATATTTTTTACGGTTAACCACCAAAGACGAGTATTTTTAGTCGGTTGCCAATTTGACCAACAACAATCACGGTTAGTTAATTTGACAAATATCTGTTACGAAACCAATTAAGAAAACATTCCAATACCATATTGCTTATCCTTTATGCCAAATTGTTTAAAGTATTATCCGACATGTCAAATTTTCAACCAAAGCTTTTACCATGATCGTTAATTGGAGAATGGAGAAAAATATATTTGTCAAATTCACTAATGGATTATCGTACACACTTCTCTCTATGGTAATAATCCTGTTTTTAATTAACTCTGGAACTTGTAAAAACAGTACTTGTGACTGGTAAAGCTGTAGCTGAGTCGGTTTTTGTGATGCAGGAAATGTACTATTCAACTAAGAGACAGCAATTTCTGATTGATCAAGGTTATAGTTTTAAGGTAATTCATCAGCTTTAGTCTTCTAGTGTTGTTGATCTTATTCAAATTTAGATAGAATTTCATAGCTTCTTGAATCATGTTATCTCTGTCCCAACACTGCCCACAGCTACCACCAATACTGCGCAGTATTATCAATATTACCCTTTAAACACCTTTTCTACAGCCATAGCCCCCCAACCCCCATTGTGGTTACCCATATGATCCTTGACAACAACACTCTTAGGGTCTTTGTTATCAACTTAATGAGTTTAATGGGATTCACAACTTATTCGGTCAGCTATACATGACTGTTTAGTAGTGGCTTAATGATATAGAAAGTGACATTCATTAAGTTTGTAGAGGGGAGCTTTATGCAGAAAGCCAAGTATGCCCCTCCCAATTAAAAAACATGTTCCTTCCATCTATGAAAACAAAAATCGTCCCAATCTATACAAACAGATTAATGCACACAAACAACTTTATCTGTATGGACTTAATGGAAAACCAACCAAACATCAAACCAACCAAACATCCCCTTAGTAATATACTACACAAAAAAATGAAGGGGATCACATAAAATCACACATTAGACACACAAAAGTTTCTTGTAGTTCGATTAACATTCAAAACACCTTTTCCACGCAAAGAACTGAGAATTCAAGAAACATAAAGTTACTGAACAAGGTCTTAATTTACATTTCTCATCCTTGTAATCTGTTCATCAAAAAGTAATGAATATAAGGACTTGTTTAGGGGATGTTTGGTTGGTTTTCCATTAAGTCATAAAGCTATCTGTGTGGATTAATCTCTCTGTATAAATTAAGAATGTTTTTGGTTATGAGGTTTTTTCATAGACGGAAAGAGTGTTTTTTAATTGGGAGGGACGGGTTTGGAGAAAAACTTGGCTTTCTGCATAAAGCTCCCCGTAGAAGCTTACTGAATAAGCCACTTTCTATATCATCAAGCCACTATCAAACAGTCATGTATAGCTGACCGCATAAGCTACGAGTCCCATTAAGCTCTTAACAAACAGGCCCCTATCACATTCATGTTTGTCACTTTCCTCCAAGATCCCATCTTCATTCTTCATCACATCAAGTGAATTGGACCCAATCTCACATCTTTATGTAAATGGAACCCAAAAATGACATAATGGAAATGTTCATTAATCCGTTTCTGATTTTGCTGCTAATTTTTCTTTTTACTGTCTAACTAACAGGTGATCACAAGCCTTCCCCCCCAAGACACAGGGGCAGAATTGAGCTATCATCGTCTTGATGAACAACTTTCACTTCTTGGAAAGGTTCTACTTCTTTTTATACCGAAATCCTCTTCTGACTTGAAAAACATGAGTGTGTTGGAATACTTATCAGTTACTTCTACAATAGGTGTTAAGTGCTGGCGATGATGCAGTAGGTTTAGAAATACTAGAAGATGATACAGATGACATAGCACTTCAGAAAGCTCGTGCTCGTCGCCTAATGGGATCCATGAGTGCCATGTCAGGAGCTAAAGGGATGATCTATCATGAGTTCAGGTTGGTCTACATTTTTTGTTAAAGTATATAATATTTATCAAGGTTTTAAAAGGCAGAATTGGGCCTCGAGGCGGTCCAAGGCGTAAGCCCCAAGGTGGAGATATATACACCAAAATATCTATATATATAGTACACACAAATGTATATAAATTTGCATACAATATATAATACTAAATTACTAAGAGGCGCCGGTTCAGTGGTTCTTGACAGAGGAAAGAGTGAGAACGTGAGATAGGTTGAGAGGGTGTGGGAAAATTGGTTGCTTGGAGGAAGAGGAAGGGTCAAACCACACTTTTTGATTGAGAACAGGAAGTACTCGCTTTTTGGGTTTTAAATTATTAAAAGTACACATTGGGGCCATTGGCTTGGACACTAATTTTTCTTTAAAAAGACGCTACAAAGAGAAATCTATTACTGCCAAAAAGCTTATAAAAGAGGCAAAAACCCCATTACTAAAGCAGATCATCTTAGGTGTATGCCTCGACACCGCCTCATGCCTCACTAAACCAAGGCGTAAGCCTCGTCCAGGGTCCAAGAGGTGTCGCCTCAGACGCGGTTTTTGGCCGCCTCGTCTCAAGGCATACCGCCTCAAACGATTTTTAGAACCATGATATTTATGTATGGGAAATACTCAGGGACGCTCCTCCCTTTATGGGAGATTGGGCCCTACCAGTAATCCGGATAATGCTGGGCCAATGACCCCTGTGGTGTTCTAAACACCCTACTCAAGGCCTCGTAAGCAGCCATCTAGGCATAGAGTGGCATTAAAAGATCACTCGGACCATAATCTTTGCGACATTTTCGTTGACAGGACTGGACAAAACAGGTTCGGAAAGAGCAAGCCGAAGGATCCAGCAAAGAGACATCAACTATTCAAGAAACGTTTTGTATGAATACATACATACAATCAAATACAGGTTATGCTGCATCGTTACGGCTGTATGGAAACCATAAACCGAGGCGTGTTTCTTTTCTTTTGGCATAACTGCATCTCTTCCACAAAAACCTTGCTTTCGTTTTTATAAAGAAAGATGAAACTTACACTTTGTACCAGTTTTGGTTTCATTCTGTTTCAAAGCAATTGTAGAATATGCAACAAACTAAACCTTTCCAATTTCTGGGCTTCGAGGAATCATCATCATAAGCTCTAGGTAAGATAATGTCATTCAGAGGTCTGAATTGTTTTGTGAACTTTTAAACTCTAGCTAAAATTTACCAAAGCTTACTGGGTAAGCTCTTATGTAAGAGTCACCGCCATGGTTTAAAAATCATTCAAGGCGTATGCCTCGAGGCGAAGCAGCCTAAAACCGCACTATTTTTTTATAGGAAAAACTATTAAACTTTTTCATTTTGAATGATTATGTACTTGGACTAATTTTTTTGATTGATCAAATTCCTAAACATTTTTTAATAAATGAACCATTGCACTTTTAAAAATTAGTTACCTACATAATTTTAATAAAAAAACCAAAGGGCCTTTGGCCTAGCGGTATTGTAGCCCTTGGCCTTCTAGGAGGTCAGGGGTTCAAACCTCACCATAGGTGAGGAGGGTGTGTGAGTTTATTTGTTGCATTTGCCGTATATAAATATTATATACTTTCAAAAAAAAAATTAATAAAAAAAAGTAACATTGATCAACTAGTAAACATTAGATGATTTATTTATTTATTTTTAAAAATTTAAAGTTTTAATCGTTTAAAATATGAAAGTTTAATAATTTTCATTCTAAAAAAATTTATGTACTTAATCATTTAAAATGAAAAGGTTTAAATGTTTTTTTATTCAAAAAAATAGTTTGAGAACTAAACCATACAAAAATAGAAAATTTGTTGGATTTTTTTTATATTTTTCCTTTGAAAAAGTCAAAGTCCAATAACCACTTTTAATATTTTAAAACCTAAAAGCTAATAATTTCTCTTCAAGTGTGGTTTGACCCTCTCAGTAACCAACTTTTTCACGCCCTTCACCCTATCTCAGGGTTTCATTCTTTCCTCTCTAAAAGAACCACCGGACTGCCACAAGGCTTATGGCCTTGCCTTGTTGAAGAAAACACCTCAGAGGCTCAATTCCGCCTTTTAAAACCTTGGTCACCACCCTTATCTTACTAGGTAAGTTTCTTAACCATCAAAATGGTATAATAAGATTGTTGGTAAGCTGTTTCTTACCCGGTAAGCATCAACCGGGTAAGAGTCACCACCTTCACTTACCAGGTAGAATTGTTGGTCCTCACCTTGCCTCTTACCAGCTAAGACTCACGGTCCTTGCCATGCCATGTCATGCTCACCTGATAAGATAAACGGCCTGATAAGCACTTACGCAGGTAAACGGCCCTAAGACATTCCAAGGGTCATCTTGACACATTGAACAATAATCTTTCATGTTAAAGAACTATTATACAGCATCCAGTCAAAAGACGATAATCAATAACATGTTAACGTAACGATCCTACACACACGAACCAAAAACAGCTAAATTCACGGGGTGCTCTTAAGATCCAATTTCATTTGTGGTTTGTTTTAAGGTGTTATTGGATGATTCCTTATCTCTCCAAACTGCCAAAACTTCATCAGTTCTGAACCTCTGAGTGAAAGTTGATTCTTCAAGTGAAGTTGTGGTTCCATGAGCATAAGCGAGAAGACCTGTATAAGCAATCATTGCTCCATTGTCAATGCAATATCTATCATCAGTTGCAAACAACTTTCCCCCTCTTTCACCACACATAACTTTCATCATTTCTTGCAATCGTTCGTTGCACCCCACGCCACCAACGATCAAAACATCTTTCTTGTCACAATGTGCCATCGCTCGTTCTGTTATCTCGACAAGCATAGCAAATAGCGTTTCCTGAAAAAGAGTCGTGCTATGTTAACAAAAAAGAACACCAATTGCATCAATGATGCCATTGGAATGTATTATGAAGTTGTATGGTTCAAGTCACTAAGGATGCGTTTGGTGTCTAGACCCAAAGCTCAAAGCAACAGGTTGGCCCAATAACTTTGAATCCAACTTACAACCATGGTGGAAGTTACTGGTAGCCCACAACTTAAGGCTTATAAGGAGCTTACAAATCCCATTTTCTAGATGTACACAAGTTGTTCCAAAGTCCCCCACTTGAACTTCTAACGTCCTCGTGAGGCCAGCTTAGAATCTTCCTCCTTGTAATTGGCGATGTGGGATTCGCCTAAAATGTTCAAATAGCCCCCCTCGAGGACTCATCATCATACCCGATGAGGTTTGCCCCACCTTCCTGATGGCTGCGATTCCATTTGTAACAATCCAAAGCCCAAAGCAAGAAGCTGACCCAATAACTTCGAATCTAAATTAGTGGAAATTATTGGTAGCCCACAACTTGAGCCTTATAAGAGCTCACAAATCCCATTTACTATCAATGTGGGATGAGTTGTTACAAGATAAAACAGTCGTTCAACATTTGGTAAGACATAATTGGACAGAGAACAGATAAAATGACCAATTTACTCTAATGAGTTGTTTATATTTTTTTATATATTTTGAATTGATTCATGTAATTTATTGAATTATAATAAAATAAATATTTTTGAAACAAAATATCATTAGAATCAAGATGATTAAAATGACATCAAAATAAAAAGTTTATGTAGTTTCGATTTTTATATTTATACAATTTCTATATAATTTTATTATTATAATATTTAATAAATTACATAAATTAACCGAGATATAGAAATTGTATAAAATTAAATTTCTAGGATCAGTAAAGAGAGAGTTTAAAAGAGCAAAAATACAATAAATAAAATTTAAAGAATGAATAAAATATAAAGATGAGAGGGGAGGTGTATTTGATGTTTTAGAGGAAAATTAGGTTTTATTTTATTATTATAATATTTAACAAATTACATAAATTAACCGAGATATAGAAATTGCATAAAATTAAATTTCTAGGATAAGTAAAAAGAGAGTTTAAAAGAGCAGAAATACAATAAATAAAATTTAAAGAATGAATAAAATATAAAGATGAGAGGGGAGGTGTATTTGATGTTTTAGAGGAAAATTAAGTTTTATTGGTAAAATATAGGTATGTTCCACCTTGTTCCGTAATGCGGGGTGGAACACGCCTGTTCCACATAAAAGTCCTGCCAAATATCGAACAATGATCCATGTTCTGTCCAGGGTACCAAACGCACCTTAATGGTGTGTTTGGTATGTAAATGGGACTGGATGGAAAAAAAAAGTGAGGTAGGCAGGCAAAAGAATTATACAAGGTTTTAAGGTTTTTAATTTGACACGAATAATTTAATATATAACAATCTTGTTCTATCACCCTCATTTTTGTTCCACCTATTTTGGTGGGATAGAAAAAATGCATTTTGGTCCTACTCAGGTCCTATCCTTTCCAAGTCTAATGTTGAGCCAAACGTTAGACAACAAATTTTTGTAACCGGCCGAAAGGATCAATGACCCAATGTCACTTGGGTTATCAACTGCCCAACCTCCTCATAGGTCAAGGGTTGTAAGACCCACCAAAAGGTGGGGAGTGTGTGTCAGTTTAACCTCATATATATATCTATACTATATTATAAAGCATTTGACTAAAACTCTTAAAAACTCTTAAAACTCTTAAAAACTCTTAAACCAGATTTCATTCCTATCCGATTTCATCCCATATCTGAATTCGTATAACTAACTGCAGATAAACACAATCAAATACATGATAAACATCTAATTTTAAATATAAAAAATCTAAAATATAATTAGGATAATCATTGAGTTCTAACAGAATATTTAATTATTATCTTTATAAAATGTAATGTTATTCAACCAAAAATAAATTATTTCATTATTAAACTTAAATTAAATTATAAAAAAATAATTTATACTATATTATAAAGCATTTGA